GCAGCACCAGGTTGGGACATCATTGCTGATGTGGGCATTTTGCAATCAGCAGTTAGCTCTGAAGAAGTACGCCATCTTCGATTGGCAAATCAGTTGGTGCTGAAGGCCTGCAGTATCGTTTCTTTCCACCAAAGACACCACTTCGTTTGCAGTGCGTCCATGACGCCAGTTCAGCATCAAGAGGACGCACTTACGCTCAAGAAGGTGTGGTCATTGCTTTGATGCATGAGCTTCCTGAGCACATCCTACATCAGGATGATCTTGAATGTGATGATCACACCGTGCATCAGTTGAGTGGATATGGGCACATCCTCTATGCCCATGGTGGGAAAGCCAAGCGAGTCTCTTACTCCACCTCACATGCTGAGACTTTGTCAGCAGTGAACGCCTTGGAATCGAGCAGTATGGTTTCTACAAGGTTGACTGAGCAGTATGGTTTCTACAAGGTTGACCGAACTGTGGCTGCCTGATGCTCAGCCAAGTTTGAAGACCCTGACTGACTATCAGGAAAATGGGTCCGACCTCTTTCCAGCTGACTTCTCAACGGACTGCAAAGACTACTGGGAGCTATGCACAGGAGCCAAAGCAGTCCCTCAAGACAAGCAGCAGAGGCTGTATGTGCTTGCGATAAAGGAAGCCAGAGTGACCGGACGAATCCGGTACATGATCCTCACGCCGACCGAGTACATGTTGGCGGATCCCCTCACCAAACCTATGCTCTCGCCAATGATGATGTTAAGGCTTTGAGCTCAGGCTACATCGAATTTGGCAATGTGGCCAATCATCCGATGGTTCTTCGCCGCGTGCCGCATTTAGCAGAAGTCAATGAGAACGACCTCTACAAGAGTGATGAACAAATCAAGAAGGAAGTGAATGAAGGGAAGAAGACTTTGTGGAGCATCGCACCCATTGGCATGACCTCCAAGCGAGCTTTGGGATTGGTGCTTGTGTTCAGCATGGTTCAAGCTGCAGCAGCTCAACCAGAGCGGCCTACCGAGACGGATGGCTTTGACTGGTTCCTCATGGCCATGATGTTTTGTGGCTACGCAGCTCTTCGTTTCCTGGAGTACCTTCTTTCTTTGTGCTTCAGGAGCAAACCAAAAGGAAAGAAGAAGAAGGTGAAGAATGACTCTGGCAGTGAGAGTGAGGAAGTAGATCGCAGTAGCTCTGCTGCCAGGTCTACGTCTTTGCCACGACCAAAGGAAGGTCCCATGGTGCGAAACCGCGCGTTGAACTTAGAGCCACCAAGATCCGAACAGGGGATCCCTCTTTTGCCCGAGCATATCTACATAGGTACCACAGGTGAATGCTACCACCTGACAACGCGTTGTGGGAACTTGGGTGCAGGTGTCATGACCCGAAGAAGGTGCAAGAAATGCACAGACCGAGCCCGAAACAGAAGCGGAGTTTGAAATCCAGCACCTGAGATTCCACATGTGCACTAAGGCATGAGATCATTTGTACAGACCCTTGACATACCGCAGGATCCTTGAGCCGGTCCAAAACAAGTCTAATATATCTATCGAGGAGAATTGCTTTTAATACTTGCCCGACTTGGCCGCCGTTTCAGGCCAAGAGGCCAGCCATTCGATGCCAAAGGCCAGCCATGGCCGGCCGTGGCAGCACTCAGCGTGTGGCGCCGGTGCCGGCGCCACCTCCTTCGCGCCAGGACGCCGCATGAAGCTTCGGCCGCTGCGTTTCCATCGAGGCAAGCCTTGAGATTGAAGCACCGGGTGGAATGGATCGTGTTAGCTGCCCAGCAGCAGCAAGAAATGGAGGCACTTCAGGTGAGAATCTGCCAGGTGGTCTTTCTGCGGATGAGGGATGCTTCGGCGGAACTGCAAGAGCTCCATGGAGGGGTGATCTACAAGGCATCATCTTCCGGTACACTTGACAGTGGTGGAGGATGAGGAGACAGAGGAGTCGATTTCGGAATCGACTGACTGTGACTCTAACGCCAGCTCGATCTCAGATATTGTTTAATATGCACGCAAATTCCTGCTAATTCGCTCGGCAGGAACTGGCTAAGCCAGCAACGGGTCAAGCGAGAAAAAGCTTTTCCGAACGAGTTGTCGGGGACCAGTGAGTTTTGCGTAGGAAAACCATCACTGCCTGCAGGGGATAGCCGCCCCCGAAGACATAACACTTCTGGTCGATATAGCTGGAAAACGGACAACCGGATGTGAACCAGAATACCTTGTGGACCGATTGACCACTGTTCTCTTGGAAAAAATAAATCCTGAATCTTTATGGCACGCACCTGTATATTTTTGGGTCAGCTCATTGGTTCCCTAAACATTAAAAGGTGTGTCTTCCTCAAGGCCGGGTCCATAATCGGCAGCAGGGGACCGATAGTGTTTCAAGGAGCGGCATTCGAAGACCAAGATCAATTTACAACAACGGCGATCGAAACCACATCCATGTCCCGGGCAAATTCAATCACTGCTGGTTTTATGATTTAAGAGGATTCAACTTTGCTGCCAAGCAACACCCGCGTGTTTCCAAACGCGTCCGGGCCTCAGGTGATGTGGTCGCCACAACTTTGGCCACTCAAACCCTGCAGCAGCTCATCATGGACCGGGTACCGGAATGGGACCGCCAATCCCCAGCCCCCCAGAAACCCTGAAGCAATCTGAAGCACCAGTTTTGTTTCTTTGTTTTCCCTGAATAGCTCTAGGCACCAGTTCTTTCAGTGCAAGACTTCTGTGTTTCACAGAGAAAAGCATTCCATTGGGGACTGTTTGGGGCTGTTTAGTTGTTTTGCGGCCCGCAGCAGTGAACACAGCAGTGCCCACGGCTATTTCATTCAGAACTGTTTAGATATAATTCTAAAGTACATAATTGAAATTATTTCCAACATGTTTGGGGGTGTGCTCACAAGCATTTGGGGAATAAGATGAGAAAAACGCTTAGAACACCGGTGTGATCACGAGATGTGATGCTGTGATGCTGCGCATGTGCATGAGGCTCTTTGGGGCTCATGCACGGGCTAAAAATTCATAACACTGTGTGGAAACACAAAATTTGGTTTCCGTGAAATGCAGCACTCAGCAATGATTAAAAGCCGAACTTTCGTGTTTGGGCCATCCGTTCCAAAAATCATCTCAACCTCAATCCAAAAAGGACGAACATCCACCTCACTTGCTATGTACCGGAACGAAATGTTGGAAACCAGGTACGTAGGCTGTCTCTAATCAACGCGTTTCTTTGCATGCAACAGACTGACTGCACCACTCAAGTCGAAGTGTTCATGACAAGCGCAGAAGCAGACCAGAGTCTTGTTATTGGACATGACTAACATGACACAGATAAATTTTGTCAGTGCGGGATTATGTATATGATATTGCTCATATGATATCTAGCCCCAACGACCACCAAACCATGGACATACCAACCACACCTCATTTGGGAACATTCTGGCAAGCAGAGTTTACATTAGACCTCTTCTTCACACCGGTGCCATTTTTAGGGTGAGAACCTGGTACCGTTGTGTAAACAAATCGAACGTTTTCCAAGTGCCCAACACCGCAAGTGCCCTGGGCAGGAGCTGCGAGAGGAGCAAACTGAGTTTAAGGAAACGGTCCTCCGCAACCTCCGTGAGTTGGTGGACCGCTGAGATCTCGCTGATCCAAGCTGAGTGCATCACTAGGAGTGCACAAGTGCACTGTTGTGCGCTACAGGAGCACGAAGCTACTAGTAGCTATTTGTTGCTATAGTTCTTGTTCATGTTTAATGTATAAAGTACTATACATGCATACACACCAGGACACACTAGGACCTTCAAAGTCGCCAAACTTGAGATCCCAGCGTGGTCGGTTTAACCGGCCTCCTTCAAGGTCATTGAGGGACTCCAAAGAGGTCACGAACTCCAGCAACTCCCTGGCCTATCAGCTTTAAACCATGGCAATCCGGATGCTGTCCGGATCGGGTCCAGATGGAAAGGAGAGAGCGGAGAAAGGAGATTGGTGGATTTAAAAGTTGACCATGTCATCACGGAGTCGGAATCCAACATGCCTGATTTGTGGGTCAGAACATATAAACGAACATACGTACAGCACGTGCTTTGCACATGTGCTTTTGATCCGCTCTCCTCATGTGTTTTGAGTGCCTTTTCAAACGAAAAGGGAGCATAAGTTTTTGAAGCGGAAGGGGGAGAATCCCTGTTTGGCCCTGACCCTGTTGTTTCTCAAGAGTGTTCAAGTCGTTGCCTGGAATCATTCGTTGTCCACAATCAGAGTTGCACCCTGTTATTGCGTGGGATTCTGCTTGCACACAAAAGCTGCCCTCCAGCGCCAGACCAACGAGAAGACGGCTGTTATTACATGATACCATTTTTCAAGAAGAGAAGAAGCCGTGTTCGACAATAGCCTTGAGCATGAGGCATGATCGTAAACCGCAGCTACTTTTGTAGCATTTTGTAGCAATGTGTTTTCATGTAAGAGCTGAGACTCCCGGACACAGATGTCATGTCATCACCTTGTTGGGAGACCACACACCACGCACCACGTGTGGTGAGATGGGCTGGTTCGACGTGCTGAAGCGATATTCGGAGCTTCAGCCAGATCACTCCTCACAAAGTGGAGGAAAGGTTAAAAGCGCGCGAGAACAAAAATACACATCTAAACAAACAAAATAATATACGTCTAAATATGTGGAACAACATGGACAGAGCAGGAGAAATGCCCCCTTCAGATGTATAATATACGTCTAAATATGTGGAACAACATGGACAGAGCAGGAGAAATGCCCCCTTCAGATGTCTCGGCATGTTTCAATTTAGTCCTCCAGAGTTGTGAACCGGGCGTTACCAAACATTGTGTTGCATTTTTGTTGCACTGCTCCTGTTTCTCATGATTATATATTACTATATGTTCACAACGTAGCAGAACTGGGCGCATGGTCTTGTTATTGTTTTAATTCATTCAGCCGTTTTGAACTCCTGAGTTCCACTTCTGATCATCAGTCTTGACAAGCTTCAAGCCCTTTTGGCATGCAAGTGAATGGACCTCGTTTCCAACTGTTTGCAAGCTGCTTGGATGTCCACAGGTGCCCACCGTTTTTCTTGTTTAAAAACATGTTTATATATGTATAGTGGCGGCAGGAGAGCATCTTGGGCCAATCATAGACGTCCACGGTCCAGTCATGTCCAGGACCGGTGGTTTCCGATACCCCGCGACAGGTCGGAGAATTGTCAGGTGACCAGGAAGAGAGACTCGCCCGGAGACCCGGTGAGGTTGGTCACAGGTGACGCCCCGGTGGGTGACTCTACCCGCGGGTGATCACGGCGGGTGGGTTTGAGCAGGGTGTTCAACCGGCCAGTGCCAGTGAGACATGTTGCATTTGTTGACTTGTTGGGAGAAACGGTGTTTGAATGCTTTGGAATGTTCCGAGTCTACTGTTTGATATACAGTATATGTATATACCCAGACACTCCATGTATGCCATACATGCCTACATTGACCCCCCTGGCACCACCCCAATGTAGGTAAATACGCCAGTCCCATGGAGTGTCTGGGATATACAATCTCAAGGCAAGGATGATGATGAACTAAACTGATACAACGCTCGCTCGCTCTCAGCTCGTTTGACCAACCGACCTCCATCGACTCCGTGGACTGGGTTTTTTTCCGTCAGGTCCATTGGTGCCATCTGGCAACGGGAGGGCAAGGCGCCGTGCTGGTCCTTTCTGTTTTGGGTCGGCCACTGTGGACCTTTCTCCAAAAGGCGATGAAAGCAAAGCCTAGCTTGTCCGACCGAGCTGTCCCGCTCTGGGAGGAGTTCCCCGTGCTTGAAAACTGGGCGGGGTTTCCCCTCGTCGGCTCCGTTCGGGATGGGAGCGTTCTGAATGTCGACAAGACAGACACTGAAGAGAATGTCGGGATGGTTCAGAGTTCCTTCTGAGTTCCTTCGGTGTAGAAGTTTGGCTGAGCATGAAGCAGCTTTTGGTGGATAGTGGATCCCATCGCCAAGGGAATACCCAGACTAAAGGAAAACCATGTGTTGCTGTGCTTTGCTGTTCTTGCATGTGTTGATCTATAGTGCTTGCTGGCCCTTCCAGTTTGGTGATCACTCCAGAAAAGTGTTTTCGCAGGATACTAGTAGTGTCTTCCATGAGGAGCTGCCTTCACAAGTTCGCGTCTGAACCCAAACCCGGTGAACGAGGTGCATCGCCTGAGTCACCGAAGAGCACCTGAGTGACACAAGTCATCGACATCAAAACTGGTCAGGTGTTTATATAGCACTTTTGGGGTGTCTCCTCAAGATTGCGTTCCATGACTTTCTCCGGGGTGTTGCGGTATTGTTGCTTCGGTCAGGTCATCGAAATGTACCTGGAGTCGTACCTCGGAACATTGGCACCAATACCTGTTTTGTTATAGTCATGTCACACGTCCTATTTTCGAGGGTCCAGGTAGGTGGAGCGCCTTTCTTGCAACAAAGTACCTGTTTGTTTCCTCCAAGATGCTCAAAAGGACATCTGAGGATTTACAATGGAAAACCCCTACCAGCACCACCCTAAGTTGAGGATCGTGATTTGATTCATCAACACAGGGATACACAGGGCATGTCTCAGGAATCTATCCAATCCACCATGTTTCTCCTGGTTGTAAAAGACACAAAAAATTAACAACATCCCATAAACCTAGGGACCTTTCGTAAAGGGACCGGCCGGGGGATGTGGGTCGATCTTCTCAAGCAGCTCGGCCGATGCCAGGTGGTGGGCGCCTTGTTAATGGGCTCTCCCGGGCCCTCCGCAGAGGCCGAGTCCAACGGGCGCGGTGGGAAGCCCCCCATTGAGCTGAGACAGGTGAAAAAAGGCGAGAAGCAGTCCGTGGGTTGGGTCTCAAGATTGAAATGTATCAGACCATTCTTGTTTTATGTTTTTTTTGCCTTTTTCTTGGACTTGAGATGTGGGAGCTCCCTGACCACCGGCATCAGCCAGCCTTGTGAAGGACCAGCAGAAGTTGCGGCAGCTGGCAGAAGCACAGCCCGCAGCAGCCGAGGCTGACCAGGTGGGCCCTGCGAGGAAGGTGGGTGGGAGAGCCCCAACAGTTGGAGAGTCCAGCAGCCTTTTCCCGGCGCAGCTTGATGCTTCTGCATGAGACTTCATGATGAATCATGTGTTTTTTTGTCTTGGAAGCGCTTGAGGTTCCAAATTTATGGACTGGATCACAACAAAGGATCATCCCAAGGTCCCCTGCTCTTTCAAGTGTCTCATCTCGGGTGTGTCTTCTCCTATAAAGCCATCATGTTGCACTGATCGACACACTCGGGCGCTGCCCCCAAAGACTTCCGAATGCAGGCCTTTGCTGATGCTGGCCTCTGAGACGGAAAACGCTCTGCGTAGCACGGATCGTGAGACACGGGAGCGTTTTCGACCTCGAAGCTTCGCACCTGGAAGACGGGATTTTTCACCAAGCCTGGCGGGCTTTCAGTGTCTCGGTCCGCTGTCCCCTCTCTTTTCGGCGCGACCTGCCCTTTGCCCTCCTCTCATCGAAAAAAGGCAGAGAGGATGTATCGGGGCCCGGGGCGGGCCGCGCAAGCGTGGGCGCCAGCGGGTCTCAAGTCCTTTCGCTCAGGAACGACGCAGGTCGCGCTTCGCTCGGATTGGGTTCGACCGCGATGCGAGTCCAGACCACGGAAGCAGTTCGTAATGTCGCAAAATGTTGGGAGATGGGGCTCAAGCTGAGACGTACAGATTCGGACCTTCTTGAGCTATATTTCTATCGATTTCTTGCCATGGGCTTTGACAGTTCAACCATCAGGCTCTCCGAGCCCTTCGGCCGGCTGGTTGATCCCCCTGGTCCACAAAATATGTTTGGCAGTGGTTGAAGATGTTGAAGTGCAAGTTTGGCTTTTTCGGACCGTGATAGAACGCTCTAGAACTGAAAGAGTACACCCAAACAAATGTGGTAGTAGAGCTCTAAAATAAGAAGATCGACCCACAATGGTCAGATATTGTTTCTGTCTCTTTGCATCACCATGCGGTCCCTATCAGAACGGCCATGGCGGTTCTGGCCGCCTGCGCGGGGCTGCGGCTGAACGGCACACAACCTGTGCCAGCGACCTCAGGTGGATCGGACTGATTGGCAGGAAGTCTCAAATCCAAAGTTTGGATGTCGACTCTACACTGAACGAGCCAATTACACTGATGTTAGTTGTCTGAAGCTCCAAAAAAAAACATCCTCAGCCATCCGATCTGGAGAAAATCGTGACATCGTCCATCAAACGCATCCCGTGGCGAATGCGTGGAGCGCCAAGGCCGAATAATGTGCTTCTGAGCCAGGAGTGCCACTGCCAGGCTTCGGAGTGGAAAGGAACAAACACGGTCAGACCCTGGTATTTCTAGCACCATCCTTCCTGGAAAATTTGATACATAAATTGTTTAAATCATTCTCGCGGACAGGGATAGATATGTGATGATATGTATATATATTATATGCAGAGTATATATTGCCACTTCTAGTAAGTTTTGTGGAACTGTGGGCACATACATGAGCTCCTTGTCATGCTACCCAGAAGAGTGCCTTTCATGTGATTTTTGCTTAAGTTTGGGTGGTTTTCTTTGTTGATGATAACGCATATTAGAATGCTGGAGCTTCCATATGGGTTTGATCAAGAAGCAGCTAGCGCCTGGCTCCTGACTGGCTCCTTTGTCGTGAGGATTGAACTCCTGAAACCGAAGGACAAAGGGGACAAGCTGACAAGCGTGGGCTAGGTTGCATCCACCACCCTCGCCGCGGAAAAGCGTACGTCTCGTGCGCGGAAGACCGTGCACTTAACGTGTTGGAGAAGAAGACCGTGTTCTTAAATACAGTACACTCCCTGGAATCATCATGGAAGTGGTGAACTCACCGCTGGTTCACTGATTTGGTCTTCGGAAGACTCATGGTCATCAACCGAGTCTTCGGGGCAGGGGCACCGGGATCATTCTGTTTTTGCAGGGAGTGTAACCTGAACAAAATGGAAACCACCAAACACTGGGCTTCTCCGGTTGGTCGCTCCACCGCTGGCACCGTCTCCAGGGGCACTTTGACCATGCGGTGGTCCCGGGCATCTCACATCCCGATGCACGCTGCCTCCAGGAGGCGGACGGAAGTTGGGTGTGGCGGGTGGACCATGGTGAACCCGAAGGAAGCAACATATTGCAGATATTCATATATTATATATATATATATATGTTATATCATATTTTGCAGATATTCATATGCAAGTCCCCCCCAAAGACGGAAGTTGTGTTTGATACGGTCACACCCAGAAGAGCAGAACATATCATTTGGCTGGCAGAACATTGTTTTGCTGCCCTCCCAATTGAGCCTTCCAAAGTTGATTTCATTTTGGGGACACCAGAGATTCTGCTGAAGATGATCTCAGTTGTCCACTCAGTCCTTACTGAAGGGCATGCAGGATGTGAGCGTTCGCAGGATCGCACGGTGCCCAGTACGAGTTACTGCAGGATCGCACGGTGTAGTGTAATCTGTTCGGGGCGTCACAGTAATTCAAATCCTTGCCCCGATCAGAAAGGTTAAGGTTTCAACTTGACATGCTTGGCAGGATGAGCGGTCCAAGATGGTCCGAGCATGTTGCAGGAAATGGCCGCTATCCTGCCGTACTTGGTTGTGTTCTTTGAAGACCGTGGACCACTCAATTGCCAGTCAGCACTGACCACACCACAAAAACATTTGAGAAGTGGTTAACATTTGTTATCAGCAGCAAGGGACTGCTCATGGAAGTCCTTGTGGTCCCCCTACTCTTTTGGGCTGCCAACGCGACCACAAGAGCTTCACTGGAAAGAGTAGGACAAGAGCTCCATGCCTCGAAAGAATGACTCCATGGTGCAGGAGTCGGCGACTGGCAGGAGTCCATGCTCAGCACACGAATGAAGGAAACGAAGGACAAAACATGACCAAAACCTTGTTGCACAGAAGGCTGGTCATTCCACAGAAGCCTTTCACTTGACCATGTTGTTGTCATTACTGACGAAATCACAGTTACAAGTTACGACCGAGTTTCGGAAGAGGGGAGCTTCACCCTTCCATATCTTTCAACACTTCTCTCTTCTGTGTCTCGGTCCAACATCACCACCGAGTCCCAACGGGACTGAGGTGGAAACGACACATGCGCGCATGTTGTTGCGCGCCCCAGCCGCGTCCATTTCGGAGAGCCTGGTTGCTGCACACATCACCCCAGGTGCTGGCGGCACAGGTTTGCCGCGTGCTGTGGACGGTTCATGTTGGCAGAACAAGGCTAAAACATTTACGACATGCTGCGACAATCCTATGGAGCCACATACCCTTTAAGAAGCGTAGGCACCAGGAGGGTCCAAGTACCTTCTCAAAAGGTGTGTGGATTTTGAGGGATGTATCGGTATTTTGAGGCACCATCTATGAGCTTCAGGGAGATTCACCAGCGATTTGTTGCTCTTGTGTTATGTGCCCACCGCTCATTCCGCCTGTTCATTCCCTGCGCGTCCGCGGGCCTGCTCGCGGCCTATTTGGCAAACTGCCCCGTTGTTTGTCATCATCCAAACAGATCTACCCTCTCCTATCATTTTCCTCTACAAATAGGGTGGGTTCCACTTTCAAGTGACTCGGAGTATATAATTACAACTGATCACATTCTGCCTGTATACAATCCAGAGAGACAGATGGGAAGCCGAGGCTGAAACAATAGATGTCAATAAATTGAAACAGAACACGTGTAAAGAAAACAAATTACAACCCGTCAAACAAATAGAATCAAATAGATAGACGTTCATGTCGCGCGCAAAAATATTGCGTTTGAAGTGAGCTGTGCCAGCAGTCTCCACAATGTTCTTGTTTGCCTCGCAGGCACCAAGCTTTACCGAGATGCTTGATGCACAGGAGAGCTTGGTCAACTTCCAAGGAGGCAACGTACTCCGCTGATCCACTTGGTCTAAGGGGAGATAATTCAAGTCACCGCCCAAGCATGGAAAGTTCACAGTGGTGATCGCCTGTGGTTCTGGGTTGGAGAACCTTGGATCCGGAAATTTGATGCCAAAGACGCAGCTTTGGGGGGCCAGTGGGTTTGATTTCATGTGTCCTGTGGTTGTTTTACGGCCAGTGGGTTTGGAACCATTTTGAACATGATCCCACAACATGAAAGAGAAACTGCTTGTGCTGCTTGTTGTGTGTAATACAGTACCTCGTTTGGTGGCGTCTTTCAGATATATATATATATATATTATATAGTGGATGGGATGAATATTCAATAATTATGGGACAACTACTATTGACAGACCTAATTTCGGAACTTTGCTCAAGACTTCTTTTAGCGAACAGAATGAGGGAAGAAAGTGGTGCAATCATATAACTATCAATATCAATATTAACAATAAGCCACACATGGCTAATTACAACAAATTATCATCAGATATTTGCTGTATAGCAAAGCAAATCAGAGTACACTCCCTGGTATCATCATGGAAGTGGGAAAATCACCCATTTGCAAATTGTCATCCAAGGGTTGATTTCCAATTCCATGATCATTCCAGGGAGCGTAGAAATGTTTGGATGCAACGACATACTTGCTGCACTCCAATGCCGAGCACCTCATGTTCAATCGGTCGACATCTTTGTCTCGGGTGAACTTTTGAAGGCCACGTGCGGCAAGCAGCTGTCGCGTTGATGGCGCGATGCCGCAAACGTCGAGGCGTGGTGTGAACGCTACCGCCGTCAACCGCGCACGGTTGAACGGTTTTTAGGACGTTCAGTGAACATTCGTCCGTCCTTCAGTCGAACGTTGGCATCGTCCTTCGTGCGTCTCCTCTGTGCTTGGACAAGTCGTTGACCCTGTGGCCCAACGACTCGAACGACAGTGCCGTGTCGGCAGACGGAGGGCGGCTCTATTGGACGCTGCAGCTCCGGGGGTTGGCCCATGAGATGCGAGTGCAGCAAGTGGAGAAGGCGGTGGATGGGAGTGGGAGCGATGGGAGGTGGGCATGGGCCGAAAAAATGGCTCACAGTGGGCATGGGATGGGCACAAATCGTAAAGTGTTTGATAGTGTGTTTGATAGTTTTTGTATATACTATAGATCCCAAAGTTGGGGTTTTCAGGGCGTCCAGTTCCATGTGAAGAACGACTCGTCGGTGCTCCAGTGGTTGGTGTTTCTTGGTGTTTCAATTGACGGAAAATGTGTTCCGTCGTTCAAAAGCTTTGCATCCGGTGGGCTTTGCTTTCGGAGATTTGTCATACTGTTTGAGGGCAACTTGCTTTGAGGACAGGTTCTGCAACTATTTTTCAATGCCAGCTGGTTATTTCTTCACGTGTACATGTTTTAGAAGCTTCGAGCCAAGGGAATTCACATGAATTGAAGCTTGAATTTACTTCGGCAAATCAGGGCTTTATTGTTCAGATCAAGCTGGAAGTGTGTAAGATTCAACCCGCAAGTCGACACGTTTTCTCTGTTTTGTTCCAGCCAAAGTCGCTTGTGTTAAACCATGTGGTTGTCGACCTGACGGTGCTGTTTAGAGTGTTTGGTAGTCATGGCAAATAAGTTCATTAAGAAAGTGGTATATATATATACAGTTGTTGTTGTTTTTGCCAGCCACGCTGACTTACGGGAATCTTTGCAGATTTCGAGCTTGTCCTCCGGCGTTCCTTCCTTGAATGGTGGAAGGACTTCTATGTATGGAACATGCATGGAACTCATGGAAAGAAAAAAGATGGCCTGACGTTCCGAAAGTCCCAGATGGTTTGTTCTTTTTCGTGGTGACAGATGCCGTCTCCAGGCATTGCTGCTGTGCGTGCCCACCTGGCAACTGGGGCCGAGATGGTGGGGTTAGTTCTCACCCATTGTGCTTTCTCGCGTTGACTTCTTCCAACTTAATTCCAACCTATTACAACACAACAATGGAGAGTGCTCGGTTTCTCCACGATGTTTGGTTTCCACAAGGAGAGGCTCTAACAAGCTGCTTGTTGATCAGATCGCACAACGTTTATGTGTTTTACATGTTTGCTGCCGCTGAGGTGCAGAAGGGAGGCTACTAGTGCAACTCGGATGCCGAGGGTGGGGTGTGTGGCATTGACCAGTTCGCCCGACGAATGAATCCCTACAAAACATTGGCCCTGTAAATCCATAATGTAAATCCAGTAGTCACAGCATCTCACAGTTTTTTGTGATCACAGTCACAAAGTCACAAATTGCAGTCCTATACGATCAAAACATGTCAAAAAATCGGAACGTGCCAAATCAAAGGATATACTTTGACCAAAGACCATAATAAATCAACCAGAGGTTTTGTCATTTTTCCAGCCAGGAATCAGCTGTGGGTAAATCGCTGGTTTGCTCCATGCTGGTCTGCTCATGTCATTGGCAGTGCTCGCTGGACCATAGGGCCAGTGATGTCCCTCCCGAGTTCATCCCAAGTTCCGTGCACCTCCACCGGTGCTGCTCCCATCCCGCCATCCCTCCTCCCTTTGTTGTTGCTCCAGGGTCGAATGCGCTTCGACCCACCTTCCATTCGACTCAATGCCGAGGCTTGGATTGCGAGTCAAAAGCTGAGCTTCGTGGCCCACCACTGGCAGCTGCAGAGCTCCTGCGGAGGCTTTAGAAGCGAGATGTGAAATGTGGACTGAATTGTCTCCCACCACCACTGAGCAGGGAAGTTCAAGGCTATACATGGGCATGTTGTAGTCTCTGTTGCTCAAGTAGGGTCTGAACCAAACAGGGTGTGTTTGCGACCTGCTCCCAGTTCTCAGGAATGGCCAAGAAGGGTTGCATCATGCGAGCGTCGGGAAAGAAGTTCGGCTTGACTAACAAAACAGAAACGACTGGCAGAGCAAATGGAGCAACGGCGGCAAGCGCGGTGACTTCGTTCAAGCATTGCAAGACTGCGGAGGACAAGATCCTTGAGACCAAAATGATCAAAATCACTGATATCAGTAAACAACGAAGGCCTATTTTAATGTCTTAACCATTATCTCTTCTTTGTCGCCAAGATCACTGGGAACTCCAGTATCACCACGGTGGTTGAATGTCTTCACGACCAGATGAACTGGTGGGGGCAAATCCCGAGACCGAAGATCGAAGTTCCATCAGCAAGATGTTGACTCGAAGCAGAGCATGTTGAAACATGGCGTGAGGCACACCTGCGGCGCCACCATGTCTACGTCGAGGGAGCGTTGGATTCCACACGGAACATGGACGGACTGCTCCAAAAATGGAGCAGAGAAGATTGGAAGATGAGCTGGAGATGACTCTAGAACAGATGACAGGTTTGCATCCATTGAGTTTGTTTGCAATGTCCACAGGATAATATAGAAGAGAAACACAACCAAACTGAAGAAGCGCCAACAGCTTTCCATGCTTTACAATGTATTTTAATGTGCCCTTTAGAGGTGGGAGGCAAACACCCGATGTTCTACGCAAACATCGTATGACTCAGTGTTATGCTGTGCCATTAGATGGCCTTTTGCTATTGGTTGGTTGAATCATAGAGGGGATAGACCTGGTCGTGAACAACCAATATGTAAATGAACATTAAATGAACCCCTGTGAATGTCCTTATATACAACAGGACATTTCACCAATCATTTAAATGTATGTTTTTGCCTTTGGTGGGACCTCCATGAATGTGTTGACTGACATGTCATGGCGCAAGGTCTAGCGCTGCCTCCGCGGCTTGGCCTTCCCGTCGAGACAGATGAAGGTGGGGCTTTTCATCGTGAAGAGATAGTGTTTCCTAAATAGAGGTGAACTTCCTTTAGGGGATTTGCTATGTGCACCTATGTGCATTTATTCATCTACGTTTTTTGTTCGGGGGCAGTTTTGGGTCGTTGTAACCCACCCCCATATTGACCGAAGACGCTCCTTGGAGTTCAAACCTGTGAGGACCTTCCAATGGCGATTTATCATTTGCATGACAAGAGTGGGACAGTGGCAGTGGACTACAGAACTAGTCTCATGAACTACAGAACTCATGATGCATCTCCAGCTGAGAGCCGAGAGTGCCTCAGTGAAACCACCTGTCCAAGCCTCCGACAAGCAACAGTTGAGCACTTGTATGCATTGTACCCCGAACCGGAAGTTGTTCTCAGCTTTTGGGTACCCTTGTTCATGAACAGGTGCAATGATTGAAACTTAAAACTGAGTGAGTTTGTGAAAGGAGGTGAAAGAGTCTTGTTTAGAAAGAAACACAAGATGAGTGTTGCCGCGATGGGTTAGGCTTGCTTTCTGGCATATGTTGTGGGGAATAGTTTATCAACCAATGTCACATGTGTAGTGCACAAAATGTGGAATGTTGTTGTGGGGCAGTGGTGTTATCCATGAACATTTGTAGTTAAAAAGTCCCATCACATATCGAATATATCATTTGGATGCGTTCCTGTTATGAAGAGTCTAGTCTACTCCCCAAATCTTTTTTTCAATTTTTGTATGTGACAGTATTCCTCTCCTTATGAGTTGTTTTCTTTGTGTTCAAAAGGTCTTTTCGTTTATACAATGAAAGAACACGTTCATTCTTGCAATGGCCCTGGTCTGTTGAATGCAATGAGCCTGGTGAATGCGATTTAGGGACCAAATTGCAATCACAATGATGCGCGCACACACAATACAGTTGCTTGTCTTCGAGGATCACATATTCCAAAGTGTTCAGTAGAATTGCAAAGAAATGGGTGTTGTTCAAAGGAATGGAAAGGGTGTCTTTCAATCAATAGCGGCGCAGCTTCAACAAATCTTATTCTAAGAAAAAAGCCTACTTGCGTCCAAGTAAACGTTTTTCCCCATGTTTCAATGCAGTTTAGAATAGAGGGGTGTCTTTCAGATCATTGTCTTATATGGGCTTGCAAACCAGTAGGGGCTCCTCATTGGGAAATTGGACTCTGCAGGCTGTAGGGGCGGCCTCGCTATTTTTCAACAAATGCCCTGCTATACTTAGCAGATGAAGTCTGGCCTGGCGGCCTACCTCGAAAGTATAGGGTTCCTTGTGAGGAACCACATGTGTTCAACACGCAGAGAGTGTGTCATTGTACATCGGCAAACAGAGTCCATTTTGGAGCTGGATTTGGAAAGTTAAGCCTTTGTGTTTGAGGCTTGTCCAAAGGCTTCAAACTGTGGGCGTCCAATCTTCCCCCTCAACTTTTGGTGGTAAACTGCATCAGAAACTGCAAGAAGCATGCAGTAGTACTGTAGCAACGTGAAACTTAGTTGCAGAAGTCTCATCCAATCCCAGAAATCCTCATGTCACCAGGTTTGCAGCACTATGTCACGGCCTTGGGCGGTCGCCACTTGAGCCTTTGGGCTATAGAGTTGCTTTCCAACCGACGCGCGTGTACGCCTTGGTGTAGTAAAAGGTGTGCCTCTCAAATATCCAGGAATCTTCATTCTGTATGCCATTCTTTTGGTCTACTCTCATCATTCGGATATTTGCCAAGGATTCTTGTATCAGAACAAGTAGCTACTAGGGGCTCCTGGCATCGCTACTAGGAGCAAGGACGCTACTAGGGGCTTTTGGCCGTACTACTAGGAGCAAGGACGCTCATATCGATCTGAAATCGGGAACATGTACACAGTCCCTTGGGGGATCGATTCCATCGACCAAGCGGTCGTCCCGGAATCGCCGACTGCGACTCAACGGATCGGCGACGACTTGATCCCCAAACGACCTCCGGACCGGAAGATGAAAGCATTGTGAAAGCTTTCATCCCATGGTCAGTAATAGTATTGGTGATTGAATCATAGTCTGCTTAACGCAATGGTCAGTAATGGCCAGTGATGGCCTCCAGTCCCATGGATTCCTGGAAGGGATTGAAGGTGCGGGGCGGACTGCGCCAAATCAAATATGCGCCCCTTGGTCCTAGGAGTCCTTGGTCCTATTCCATCCTGGTTGAAGCTGGGAAGGTTCATTGGCCAACTCGTTCTACTCATCCAGCTGTTTGGTTGAAGTCCAGTCTTGATCTTTCCTCGGTCCATTTCTCAAACAAGCCCAACTCTATGGGGATCCAAAGAGATGGAGGGAAGAAGCCCGACGAACACGTGGTCATCGTGTGGTCGGGCGATTCATCGTGTGCATGACCAAGACACCTCCGATTTGGCCAGACATGCTGGACGCTTCATCCAGGCGGCAGTTGTTCATCTACACGTCATATCAACGCCAAAAAAACAAAAACCGAGGTTTGTCGATTCTGCCCGGTGCTGCAGGCGTGACAGAAGTTGTTGGCGGCAAAGCTGGGTTCTCAAAACACATAAGTGTTGCTGAGATGAAGAGCCAACATGATTGTGCCGGTTGCAGAACAATACAGGCATTATAATATTGTATATATTTGTGTTTAATATACATATAATTACATGTACTGTTTATGAAGGACCAGGAATGAAATTCACCTTGAAAGCACCTGTGCGAATGCAAGTCAATCAAAAATTCATGACAATCCGTGATCCGAAGGTTGAAAGTAGGTGCAGATGAAGGCCCGATTGGAGAGTGAGCGATAGCGAGATGGTAAAACAACGCTCCTTTTGTGTGACTGCTTGTTGACGCAAGAGTTTTTTAAATGAAAGTTATGTCAGTTTGGTCGACCTTCCTTTTGTGAGACAGACTGGTGGAAAGATCCTGGTATCGGAGAAGAACAAGAGGGCAACCAGACCACGCTAAGGCTTGGCCAATAAATAGACCAAGTGCGAACGGCGAACCCCAATTCAGCACCACCAATCATTAATTCAACATTTTTGGAAGTGGACCATGACCCTATGGGTAGACCCGGACTTGGCTTTGGCCCAAATCCACAAACTTCAAATATCAGCTTCCACCTGGAAGTGCTCGGCTGCAAGATAAGTATGCGCCGTCATGGTAGGAGAGACAATGCTCTCCTTCTTCACCTATTGGGGTACTTATTTAAGAATTTAACGGAATCCCTTTGTTTGAGTAGCAAAAAAAGTATTTGTACGCATAGATGTCCTGCAATCTTGGACCCTATTGTCTTCGAGGCAGTTCACCATGGCCCATGTGTTTGCGAGGTCCAGTGATCTATAGCAGCCTGCCCTTGCACGTGCCGAAGCCACATTTCTTGGAGCAGCCGAGCCGAGGTGGGCCGAGCCGAGCGGATCAGCCACACGCCGTTGGCGAGTGTACTTGAATGAGGGGGTTACCTCAGATTCGTTTGAAGTCGCCATGGTCACCAAGAATAGGGGCACTGAGGATTGATGAGCTGCTGCATATTGTAAATCTGTTTAATCAACAGGGTGTTGTTTTCTTCCTTGCTCACACTTGATATTGTTGGCAACTCTTGCTTTGCTTGGCGGTTTCTCAGGAAGGCAACGGAGCAAACACTTTGAGCAACACCACGAACAAGGAAGGCTTGATTGCCCAAAGATGCGAAGATCACTGACGCATGTATGCTAAATCAAGATTGACTGAGCATTGGGGAAACCAACCAAACTGAATCCAGATTCAAGGTCAAAGCTGTGCCGCCTGTGGATACTCCAGAGCAGCTACGATTTTCTCAGGTTGCCGTGCCTTCCCCAAGACACTCCCTCCCCAATTGTCCAATCCACACTATTCTAAACTCCCAAACTCATGTTTTCTTTCAGGCTCAGAGTATTCAATATCATACATTATATCACCATTGAGTACCATACGTCTAACAGCCACCAAATGAAACCAAGAAGGTACCTTGACCTGTCAGGTACTTCCTTACAGCCTTGACCGGTCAGGTCTCACCGCTAAGCGAAACGGCATTTCTCTCCGGTCCTCAGCCGGAGGCGTCGGTGCGGCGGTGCTCTTCGCCGGAGCCTGGCGCTTCTCCGAACGCACGGCCTTGGCGATTCGCCGCCCGGAGCCGATGGGACTCCGACTCCCGGGTGGGTAAAGAGAAGTCGGAGTCGAACTGGCGGGAGAACTAGCGTCGGACTGCGTTTCTTCCGGCTTTTTTGCGATGAGGATGCTGCAGACATGGCTGCCATAGGAGGTCGGTGATCGATGGTGATCGTCATTAGATCATCGCATGTTTCTTGCGATGATCTTCTAGAACCAGAGGTTGAGCCCCAAAGCAGAATGGCTTCGAAGTCACACACTAACAACTTGGGAAATAAACTGGCATGTACAATAAGAAAAGTACGGACCTTGCTTCCTGTGGTATACGCTTGAAGTGTTCGGGCTTTGTACTTATTTGGCGTCCAGCCGTGCCCATCACACTTGAGTTGGATCAGTGATTTCTATGGATCGAAGCAGAAGAGAATTTAGCGTCAGTTCATGTCAGTACATTGGTGTTTTGATCCTTGCGTTCAATTTCCAGTTGAGAGCCAAACTGTTCTGAATGAAAGCATTTCCGACACATAGTCTGTGATCAAGTGTATACGAAGAAGTCACTCGATGTCTTTGTCGCACCGAATCAGCCAATCTCACATAGACTTTTGTAATCCGGGATGATCGTACTTGCCATCCAAGTGCCACAAAGTGTTTGAATGAATGTTAATTAGTCCATGGCTTTGAAGTGCTTTTGTGGATTGACGGAGCCTCAGGAAGGCACTTGCTGCAACCTTTGAATGCTGGGGCCCTGAAAGGCCCTGAAAGGCCCTGAGTCATGCGGAGCCTCAGGAAGCCCGGTGTGAAATGGGACTGGACAACTCTCCCCGGCAACTCATGGGACTAGAAGTAAAGAACTTTCATGGGCGGCTCTAAGAAACCACCACCCCAACTGATCAGTATAAATGTAAAGATTCTTTGATGCATTGTTTGGGTATGTCGACAAGAGGTCATTGTTGGTTGGATCAAGTAGGCTAATTGGTTTCTTCTTCAATGAGTCTCTGAACCGGACTGATAGAATTGTTGGGGAACCGGAACAAAGAGGCTCCCCTTCACATAGATAGGCACGCAGTAGATCTGACATTTGTAGGGTATCCCGGGCACTGGATGGAACAGCATACTGGTCGCTTGGCTACAATGGTTGGAACCTTGGAACCAGCAACATTCTTCAAGCAATTCAAGCGACTGATACGTCGAGTCGAGATGTGCCGGCAATACATGAGCCGAAATCGGCCGAAATCGGCCTCAGCATGCCGCTACAGATTGCATGTGGCTCCTGATTGGATGGTAGATCCACGACACTTTTCCTGCTTGGACATTCCGAAACCTGAAGTATCCAGGTGTGTTTGTGTTCCTTAGTTTGTTCTATTTTCGGCAAGAACAACAACATTAATAATGACACATTATGTTTAAGTTGTTTAACACTTGATATCCTGTCCACTATACTTGTATGCATCCTGTACAAATAAGGAGAACACCATGATGGATCAATAATTTTGCCAACCTTTGATGTTTTGATGTAGTTCAGGACAGGTTCAGTCTGAACATGTTCTTTCTTGAGTCTAGTGGCCCCCTGGTCTGACTGCCGGGCCTGGCATGCCGCATGCAGCCGGTCGGCTGCCGAGGCCAAGGTCTTTGCCGTGAGTAGCGGCAAAGGTCGCCTAGAAGCAAGGAGGAAATTGGGGCAGATGTTCCTCAGCTGAAAAGAGCTTTATAGATATTTGCTAGAGATAAAAATTGAGAACGGGCAGTTGTGGCAGTGCACTTTTTGGCCCATTTGCTATGACAAATGGACTATTTAAAATAATCTATACTGTATATACCTAATTCAATTGTAGTTTAATTATAGTTCAGTTCTATTTCAACTCTACATGCATTCTAATTCAATGTTATTTCAATGTCAATACTAATTTAGATCTTGAAAAAATATACAATCTCATTCAAACCTAGTTTCATTTTGTTAAAATGGAATTTAGAAGCAATTTTTATGTGAATTTAATAATTTATATATTTAAAGACGCCTTCTACATTGTAAGTGTTTATTCCAAAAGCTGTTCCCTAGATTTCTTGGATTGATTACTTCTATATTCAAGCCTAATATAAAAAAGCGTGCATTTCAAAGCTGTCCCCTAGATTTTTTGGAATGATCAGATCTCTTGGAATAAATATGTTCATATTTAAAAGCTTTGTATAAACATATATTAAAGTTTTTTTCACAATTTGTGGGACGGATGCCTTCTATGTATATATATATATTGAAAAGCGTTATTTGAAAGCTATCCTTTTTTATAGCTTTCCTCTGGATCTCTGGGAATGTAGATTTCCCACAAATGTGTGTGTTCATTAATTTTATGCAATCTATATTTATTTGCCACTTAAAAAATCATCCCTTTTCTGGAAAACATAAAATGCAGGCCCCATGAGGTAAAACCAAAAACACCTTGTGAGAGTCTTGACTGCACCCTCCCACAGAGGACAAACATGTGAAAACATGCTTTTTTGGTGTGTTTTAGCTTGTTATTAAATCATTGTCAACAAAGTACAGAATCTCCTGCAGAGTGCACTGGCAGTGTAGTTTTCTTGACAAAGGTTAACAGAGTGCCCTCCTCTCGGTGTAGTTGTCTTGACAAATCTTAACAAGGTGCCCTTCCGGCAGTGCAGTTGTCTTGACAAATGTTGACTCAAAAGAACACAAATTTGCGAGAAAACTTAACATGTGTCAAGAAAGCTGCTCTACCAGGAGAGCACTCTGTGGAAAATTTTGGACCCTGCGGACGAAAAAAAATGTTTTCAGAGGTTTGTCCTCTGGGGGGGTTCAGTAAACTCTCTGAAATATGTGTTTATTATTTATTCATGTATTGTTTGTGTCGTTTTTTTGCAGCTGTTTTTGTTTTTGTGACATATTTTGTCAATTGGTCAGGCTTTCCTGCTGGATGCAATTGTTGTACAGTCATTTTTGGCAGTGTAGTTTTCTTGACAAATGTTGACTCAAAAGAACCAAAATTTGCAAGAAAACTGCACTGCCAGGAGTGCCCGTTATGAACAGATAATACAAGCAATATAACTGTACACCAAAGGATAATTACTTGATGATGGGGGTTCTCTTTTGGGGGAAGTGGATGAAGAGCGATGAGTGGAGAAGTACCGGTCCAAAAAAGCAAACGCGTCCCAGACCATTAGATATTCCGAAGTCTCGTTTTTGTTGTGGAGGTTTTTGAAACATGAGATCCTCAACGACAGGTGGTGACAGATGCCACGAAAGACTCAGCACCTAACTGTGGCCTACAAAAGAATCCTTTGGACATGAGACAATAGAAATGAACCCCGATATCATGAGACTAGGGAACTTGTATTCCATTCCTGGGGATACTTTCAGACTCCAGGTGCATGCTTTGTCAAACGCCACCGTGGCGTCCGTTTCGATCCTCCAGGGTACCGCGGGCGAGTCACCTGCGAATCCGGGCAGAAGCATTTGGTCGGGGCTTTCATTGATAGGGGTGTATGACAGACGAAGCAGACCTCCCGGTTCGATGCCAGACTAAGACTCAGACTCGTTTCACTCAAGCCCACATTATAGAGATTATAGAGATAGATGGAAGCATCAAGGAGGAGCCACACTCGACGAGGCTTTCAACCACCAGAGATTGAATCACCAGAATCTGTCAGTGAATTGTTCATCTATCCATCTCAGAAACTGCACTTCATGACTCAACGACATCTACAATTAGTACATACTAGTGCGTTGTTGTTGTTGTTGTTGTTGTTGTTAATGTTGAATAGATGTCCAATGATCCACTGCGATGCCATGTGAGAATCACTGGAAGCATCCGTTTTTTTAATTCACGCGATAATGATGTGTTGAATGATGCCTTTCTGTCAACATATGTCAACTCCCCCGCGTGATTTATATGGAAAAACAGATGAAAACAGGACCGTCCGAGAGATTCGCATCACGCCAGTTCACTTCGGACGGTCCTCGCCTCGTTGACGGCCCAATGCTCGAACGAGGTTCCCTTTGGCTGGCTTTTCATGGGCCTCCTGGCGAGAAGTTGCAATCCGTTTGGAGTCACGTTTGGAGGAAACGAATGGTGCGGTGACTGTTTATGATGATTTTCCCCCGCATATGATCCCATATGAAGATGTAAAGCATTGTATAATTAAATACATTCTGGTACGTCATGGATCAATGGTCTATAAGTAGGGAAAATGTGTGAACACTGAACACAGCTCTTGTTTGGCCGGGGGGTTGGCTGTTTAGCTTTAACAGTCAACAGCTTAGTAGTTCCTGTGTCCTTTCTTTGCCGCTATACTTGCGACGTTTGTTTCTGCTCCTTGCGGAGTTAGTTTGATGGCTGTGAGCTTCTCATGGGGATGTACAGTATGGTCATAAATCTGGGTTCTGCAATGCACTGAAGCGTCATGAAGCTGTCATCTTGGTTGTGTCAGGATCTAGTGGATTCCATTTAGGAGAAACTTACCACTAATCTAATCATGAAAGGTAGCCTCAGCATGATTCAGCTGCCTAAGTTCTCTTAGCTTTAGGGGAGAAGGCTTGGAGCCTCCACGCCTCCGAGGTGCGTGATCTCACCCTGGAGGAGCTCAAGGGAGTGATCCCGTCGCGGTTCCCAAGCCGTTTTGTATCGGGATGACCTTTTTGGTGCATTAAGGGATATCCAGGGCTTCCCACTGCAGCGAACAGAAGAAACGCCTCCAGGTGTTTGGTTTCATGAGCAGCTCAAGAATCTGGGTGGTTTGGAAAGTCCAATACTGGGATGACATTGAACAATCCCAGCTTTGCATGGAATTTCTTTTGAGGTGTCCTTGTTCAATCAAACCTGCGGTCTTTGTGGAACGCGGAACGAGGAATTCCCGGCTTTTCCCGCTCAAGCTGCGCCGGAGGCCTGAGGCCTTGAGCCTTTACGAGGTCCTGGGCAGCGGGGCTTTGAGCCCCCTGAGAGGCGAGCATCCCTAGAAGCGATCACCTCCAACCCGGTGACGATTCAGGAAGGTTCCCAGCTGTTTGGAAAGGACATGCTGCAGGAAGTGCAACCAATGACCAATTCGCAAAATTCACCGCGAATCCTGTTTGAATATTTGACTTGAATTGTTCCCTCACTGACCATCAAATCCCTATAGGTTTGGGGTCTCAAATACTCTTGAGGTCCCAAAGTTCCATAGAATAGCATTTAGATCCTTACGAGTCCTTTGGAGCGTTTTGGTCCCTTGGCCGTTCGGAGGCATCCCCGGCGGCTTCAACCTGCATGCGCTACGGAAGCTCCAGCTGCCGGGACTGCCATGCTCAAGAGACCTTGACATGGGTTTGTACAAAAGGGAATCCTCCAACCAAAAAGAATCTACCTGAACCCTCCAAGGGGTGTCCAATGCACTACCCCACACTATCTATAGGCTTCCATTGGGCACCCCTTGGAGGGTCCAGGTAAGGTGATTTTATGTGATTTCCCTTCACGCAACAGGGTCTCCCATAGGGATCCGACTGAACTCAAGATTCACTCTATTTGTGGGCTCAGGAATTCTCCCACCCTGACGACGCCGGAACTCTTTACGAAATTCTGACGTGCTGTGCAGTCACGGGATCAAGCGAGTCGACCTCCCAGTTCGACCCGGTAAGAAGGGAAACGACCACAAGCCATTGGTTGAAATACACACCCAAAGAACCGATTGCAAATAAACTCACAATGAATTTTGGGAGATTGCAACGGGGCGGGACTTGAAGGAAAGAATCATGGATGGGCAACGAGCTGAAGCTAGGACATGCCCTCTACCGCATATGTCGTAATTCAGAAACAACACGTATAGCTGTACTTGAACTCCATCCAGATCATCCGAACAAGCGGTGTTTTTAAGCCGCCAATCCATCCTCACTCGAGAGTGGACGGAGAGTGGACCCTTCGACCTGGATTTCGCGACATGCAGTGACCCAGGTCGAAGATTCAGCGACGTCAGTTGGTGTCTCTAGTTCGGAAAAGTAAAACAGGAGCCAGTCAACGGGGCAAGAGCACTAAATGTCTATGCCCTTCTGGCTTGCCACCATTTCTGCATGCCATCCCATCCTTCGCTCTCACCAGCAAGTCTTGAAGGGTGAAAAATCTCTTGACTCGCGGGTGTTGCACCTGACCCCCAAAGAGAGGAGCCGAATGCGTAAGCGTCATCCTTGCGCCGAGATCAGATAGGCTACACCCTAAGCCAGATGGTAGAACAAAGCATAACCTGTCAATGCCCACGTTCGTTGAGACATGCCGACTTGTGGTGGTGCTTGCGCCCTTCTTTGTCACAAGACGTCCTCTTCTGAGGTTGGTCTTCAAGCTCGTTCAAGGCCTCTTGTCTAATTTGCAGTGAAGAGGGAAGTCTCTTCGCCCTAAGAACAATAGGAGATGTTGTAGATCACTGCAGAAGCAGTCTTGAATGAAATTGACACGCTGCATCGGGATCCTCTATTGTTCAGCTTTGAATTTAGTGGTATACAAAAGGGAGTGAAGATGGCCCCGCTTTGACAAAGTTTGTCAGGCAGAGGTTTGACTGGTGCTTCGACGTTGCACCTCCTCCACGAGGGTGGGACATCCTCTTCTTTCAAAAATCATAGTAATTGTCAATTGTGGCACCTGTTGCTCACAAAAGTTCAGATTGAAGCGTCGATATGACATGACAAGTTTTCTCTTTGTCGAGTTGTTCTTTATATCAAGAGACCCTCTGGTCATTAATGTAGGGTGAGGTGTCTTTGCTCGGTCAGATCTGCACCGTTGCACCAGGCTACGAGGAGCGGCGCGGCCGGCAGTTCAAGTGGCTGATCCATAGCCGGCTGGACTTGATTTGGGCTGCGAACCACCCGCCACTGGCGCTCATGGACAGGTCCGCACTTTGATGAGACCCCCCCGAAATAGCCGTTCGCGGAGCCTGGGAGATGGTGAGTGTGGGTTACGCCTTTTCCACCGAGCGGCGAAAGCAGCCTCTTTACCATTTGTGTCATGCGGCTTCTGACAGGGCGAAGTTTGTTCGGGTGCAGAGGGCAGAACACCGGAAAGAACAGACCAAACATGCTTTTGACATCCAGTTGGTCAAAGCATCTGATTTGAAGCCTTTAAATGTGGAGGGAGAAGCTACGACCTGGCCCAACAAATGTACGAGTCGACCAGAAGAAAAAACAAAGACATCCCAGCAACCTGACCTGATTGTTCCGATCATGGTCGCCAGAAAACGCGTCGTGCCGGCGAACACGCGTCTCTTCCAGGCGCATTTGGACCTCGCCCCTCCTTGGCGCCGGTGACCCACATCCCAACAGGCGGGTGCGTGGAAAGCCGGGGCTCTGAAGATCGGCTGAAGAGGCTGATTGTTGGTTGAAGTTGGTTGAAAGGATGTTGAAAGCGTCATTCATGATGTTTGTTGTCAATCTTTGTTGGAAAAAAGACACAGTTGAACAAGTTGATCACATTGGCATAGCAAGTTGCTCAAAGCACCTGGAAAAGCACTGTTCTTTCGACTTCGGTTTCTCGCCACGAGAGAAACCGGGGTGTGTGTGTGTACAGTGCGACACCAGACGAGGAATCGAAAAGTTCAGTTTATTCCATGGTGTATACAGTTTCGTTCTATAGTCTGGAATGTTTATCCTGCTCTTCGGTGCAGGTTTGCTTTGAATGACTGGCATGCAGTCGTGCCGCGGCATATGGCACCCGCCTTCTGGAAGCTTTGGCAACTTTTGCTCCAAGGGTTCGATCCTCAGCTTGGCTTGCACTCGGCTTAGCAGAGACCAGCTCACATTCTGACAGCGTGTCGTTTGTCCTGTGCATCATGTCATGACTGTCATCATTTTGTCAAATCCTGGAAGCATGTCTTGCTCCCAACAGTTGACAAACTCTGGGCCCCCATTAAACGAGCCAAGTATACTTCTCTTCAGACATGTGGTTCTCCCCATATTGGGGCTTGCATGCCTGCAGTGTATCTGGGCTTGACAGGCTTGCTGTAGCTTGATTTTGCTGCCAATAGTTTCATTGGTACACGGTTTGCTGTAAAATGATAACTCACCAGTACAGTATATGAATCATCACCTTCAGAGCAACATGCTCTCTCAGGCCACAGCGTTTCTGATGTTTCTGAAAACAGCTTGTGACAATGAAACTTCTCTGCTGAGAACTCATGAGCCACCAACTAGGGTGATTGATGGCCAACGGACAGGAATCACTAATCACACTGGCTGAAGAAGGGATTACTGCTGAGCAGCCAAGAGTTGCAAACTCCTGATATCAAGGGTAATTATTATGGGTGTTGAGACTACACCATCCTGGATCCGTTCCATCATTATCATAGAATCAGAAAAGACATCAGAAAACATCAGAAAGCAATGAAGCAACTAATTATGATGTGGAAGTCTTGTCCATCTTGCCACTATTAGTACCTTTTGTATCCCACGAGGTTGATTTCGTGGCGGCCCCTGAAAGCCTTCCACCAAGGGCTCTGCCCTGGACTCCTCATATCGAGCCACCCGAACTCCTGGCCGGCGTGCTGCGTGTGTGGCTTCGCTGCAGCTGGCGGGTCTATCGCCCAGGGCTAGGTTGGTTAGAATCGACCCCCGCAAGACCAGGTGTTTTCCATCCAAACGCAATGACATCTTAGCTTCTTGTTTCTAGCAGCTTCTTGTTACTACTAGTAAGGCACCTGTTACTACTAGCGTGGCACTTGTTACTACTATGGGTGGCGGTTGTTGCCAGAGTTGGCTCTTTTTAGTGCTCTCCGTCAGGGAATGACATGAGCCTGGAGGTGCTCTCCCCAAGGTTTGGCCCGTCTCACCAGCCCAAAGTCACAGGCTTGCATGCCCTGTCCAGTGCATGGAGAGTCACGGAGGGGGTTGACAGAGGGTTGACATTTGGCATCGCCACGTGTTCTTCTTGATGTTCATTCAAAGCCCGGATCCCAGAACCGCGTTTGGTTGAGCAGTACACCGGTTGTGACCCAAATCTTAAGGAGTCAAAACATGTGCAGTGGATGCAGTAGAGACTTTCTACCGACCACAGGATGGGATGGATGTCGCTAAGGGTTATTTTTGTTTACAGTAAAGGATAATGGATTCTTTAGCACTTTCTCCTGGCTTCTGTGGGCTTGTGGCTCTCAGTCGACTCCGATGGCATCGCCACGATATCTGCGAAATCGATATATTATGCAATTACACCCTGGAAGACTAACATGGACCCTGAAAACCACTGGTTGGTAGAGGAAAACCATCTTCCAGGGGGGCCATTGTCAGGGTCTATGTTAGTTTTCGGGAGTGTATATACATATACAATAGAATTTGATATAATGTGTATATATATATATATATGTATATATATGATATAATGCAACATAACATAGTATATATATAGTAGAATCATGTATGATGCAGTAGTATTATATATATATACATATATTATGGGGTTGTTGATTTCTTGCCTGCCGCAAAGTGTTCCTTGTTGCTCTTTGTATCCTTTGCTTCATGTTCCTGGAGGATACCTTAAACTCCCACAAAATTGTTGAGTTAAAACAACAATCTCAGCCTCGATCTTAATCTCTATATAGCTTGTGTTTTTTGCATGCCAACGACATCCAGAGGAATTTGTAACACGTATATGGGTACCCGGGCTAGCTATGGTTCCTTTAATCCATTGAATCTTGGTGCAATCAAACACTGCCAACACACAAATCACTTCCACAAGTAGGAATAAGATATGGGATGTACTTCGAAGCTGAGTAACTTGTCCGCAGAAGAGAGTAACTTGTCTCAAGAAGAAATGCCCTTTCAGTTGATAGGCTGGAATTGCCATTGGGGGAGATGGACGCTGTATACTGCTTAGAGCCTCGGTGGCATTGCCACCTTCCAGAAGAACTTTGGGCGATGAGGCACGTTGAAGCGGTGAAAGCTCTTGATGAAACTCAAGGGTTCAGTCAAGGCTTCGGTGGCTACCAATAGAGCCTGAATAGATACAGAGTCTCCGTTGCAAGATATCCTTTGTTTGGAGGATATGCCAGAAAAAATGTAGTGGCAATATTCTGCGGCCCTGAATTCCAAGCAATTGGGTCAAGACAAGGCATTCACATGGTAGTAGTTGTTTGTCTTCTTCATCTCCAAGACTTAGGAGCACTGCAATCGGTGGAGCTGCAACTTGGATTCATGAGAGATAGTTCATGCAAGATGCAAGCAGAAGAAGACTTACTGTG